GGGGTAAGTGTGAGCAACCAATGATTGATACGGTAAGCAGCCGTACGTACGCATCCAGGACAGAGGTATCGAAGCATGTGGAATGCACGACACTTTCTTAGCAAGTTCATGTTCTGCACACCGAGCAATGAAGAAGTTTATCTTGCTGAGCACGCAGCACACGAGTTTGCGGAAACATCCGTGTTCGACAGATTTGTTTGCAGTACAATCAGCAAGGTTTTTGTACTGTCGGCATCGGTCCAGGAACTGCGACAGCTCAACAGACGGACGAACTCACTTGGTTTCTAACCCTGACAAAGCCACCCTGCTGAACCTGGTGGTCGGTGAACAAGGAGGGTGTCTCAGGCTTTCCCTGGATCTACTCGCGTCACAGCACGCATGCTGGACCTGAAGACATTCCGTTGAAGCATCACTGCATATTGGCCGGAATATTGGATTGTTCATGCCGTGGCAAGATAGGATATCCTCAATGACCACCGCGTCAGCCGAATCAGAAAACAGACGGTTTTGCGGCTAGAAACAAGAGCCGTCAACAAAATGTGAAGCGGGTCTTTGTTGCTGGGCAATGTCAAGGGCAGAGTTGTAGAATTCGAAGTGGTGAAGATAGGTCATGGCTTAGCGCTTAAGGGCACTACGCCCAACCTCCGCACGCCTTGCATTTTCGACGGCCCTTGTAAACTCGGTGGCACGCGGAGTCGGGGACACCACAGCTTGGGCCCTGAAAACATCTAGATGCCGTCACGCCACTTGCATAGAAAAGAGGGCTCCTTGGTTTTTCGGCCCCTTGGGTTGTTTTTCGATGCCTGTCGTGCCAAGCGTTTTTTTTTGTAAACCTCCCTTCGGCGTAGCCCCGACGAACGCACGGGTGTTCTTGCCCCCTGCAGCTTATTTTTTAGATCCCTCCCGGTGGATTTCTGGCGGACGAAAGGTCCCTCATACCCAAAATGGCAACAGCTCCAAGATTGAGGCCAAGTTGTGCTTCTTTAAGGTCCATGCAAGCCTTTAACACCACGAGCTCCGATCAACAGTGCCGGTCTGGACAATGGTACCGGGACAAGTACTGGCTGGTCTTGGCATCAGTAGCTGGCATCTCAACGAATTTCCCTAGTCCCGGCGCAAGACGCCCCGGCACCGAAACGACCGTGACATCCAGATGAAAACAAAGAGCATAAAGAAGCCAACAAACAACCACACAAATCACAACCGGCAAAACAGCGGTGAAACGTTTCACGTAGTGTGCAACTGTCGTGGTCATTATGGTCCATGGTTCACAACCCGAATACCCCGATCCTGCCTTTCGGGATGCATACATACAGGTGGTGGCAGTCCAGACCACGGCAGTACGGCGAGTCTAGTGCCCCTGTGCTTTGTGACTGCTCCCATGCGCATATTCTCCAGGCCTGATGCCAGCCTGCGAAGTCAAGTCAGTGATGTCAGTGTCAGCGTACAGTCATGGTAGCTTCCTCATCGAACCCTGATCGAAAAATGTCTGCCCCTCGTCGGGGGAGTGGTCAGGCGTCGCGCCTCTACGAACACATTGCGGCTGCTGCGGGTATTGCATCGGCCACAGCTGAACTGGAAGCCTGGCTTTGGCTCCTGCGAGGTCTTTAAAATTTCTTTACAAACCCGTGGAAGAGACCAGAGTGTGCCTGGCCTTTGCAGTTTCAGGCTCGAGCAACTCCAAGGGTTAAGGGTCCAAGAACTCCCCCAGATGGCACCTAAAGCCAAGACAAGGGCGGAGGAGCAGAGATTGCCCGTAATGCTCTCAAAAGGTCGTGCAGGAGTACGTCGACAGTGCACTCTCTGATCCCCACTTTCATGCCGTTGTGTGCCTCTACCAGGTGCAGCTTCAATCCCGAATGCAGGGAGAGTGCACAAGCCGCACATGGGCTATTACGATCATCGCTGTGATCAATGCGCTGGTCTTCTCGGTCTGCTTCGCTCGCAAGCCTGCAGCAGATATGCCATGCGCTTCGCAGTGAAGTCTTTCGTAATTCCTCAGCGGCACCCCGTGAGCTCTGATTCCAGCTTGTGTGGTCTTCTTCAGGATCATGCAGAACGAGTCTCAGAACGAGGCTCTTGACGCCTTGTAGCTGGCGCTTCCGATCTCTTTAGACCAGAACGTTGGAATCTTCGATTTGCGGGCTACATCTTTGTCATGCTCGATGGCCCAATGCTGTAGTTATCAGCCCTATCATGTAGCCTGGAGGTAGATTCGGAATCTCTGCTGCCGCAGAGTGGCAATGTACCAGGACAAAATGGTTCCCACGTAACAAGATGGCCTCACAGCTGCACGAGAGATGCCCAGAGATGCTGCCGGAAGGAATCCCGAGAAAGACCTTCACAATGAGGGTCAGTCTTTTTCGGATGAACTGGACCAATAGCATCCACGAGTATGACTATGATCTTCCTGTTCCACAGGCCTCCGCCGATTATGAGCGGAATCTGCTTCAGAGGAGATGGGCCGACATGAAGAAGCATTTGGTGATTTGGCTGCCTGGCCGAATCTTTTCTCCCACCAAGGTGAAGAACTTTCCGCGGAAGGTATGCGACGAGAACGGCAAGCTCGTGCAAATGGATGTTTGCCATGTGGCCGAAATCAGTGCCCAGAAGATCCAAGATGGGCAAACGGGCCCGGCTTCTGCGGTAGGGCAGTACATTGCTGACCAGCTAGCGGGGCAACGCCGAATACAGAGGGTTGGTAAATGCTTTTACAAGAACGACGCCAACAGGTCAAGGGACGCCACAATGCAATCAGCGCATTTTGCGTGAATCTTGCCAGGCTGGGTCGTGCTGGCCCTTTCTGCAACTGGATGTCTTGCACAAGCCGGTCAGTGCAAGAACATCGTGGAATTCTTGCAAGGTGCCATGGGAGGCACCCATCTCTTTCAGCCATTTCCGGAAATCAGGGCTGAATGGCTGCGATTCTGTGTGTCCTCCACTGTCGTGACGAACTACAACTTCCGCGTGTACAGGATAAAGCAGGTGCATTTCGACATGAATCCGTTCCCTGCCTTCGCTTATCGTCAATGAAGTGGGATTGACGTGGAGAAGTTTGTCGAAATTACTTATGCGAAGTATTTGCACATGGGGGGATTACTGCGCCTACTTTTTGGCTTGGTTTTGCAACTGGGGGGGTTGGTGGGGTGGGGGGTGGGGGGGGATAATAACGTTCCGTGCTTTACGTTAATTGCTTCACAGGTAACCGCATCGGATGAACTTGCTCAGATGAGAAACACTGTGAAAACACCAGCAAATTCATATTGGTTGACAACGACTTTTCAATAGCCGTTGAGAAATCTGCATCGGATCAACTTCATCAGATGTATTTAGTAACCCTCTACGAGAAGTCTGTAACCTTCAAGGGCCAGCTGCTCTTGGAAGCTTATCCAGAAAGGCCAAGGAGAAAGTGTTCTTGCGGCCAAATTTTTGCTGTCATATGGGTGTGACAGACGAGATGAGCCAGGAGAAGAGCCCACTGAGTGCGGTCTTGAAGCAGATCAAGGTCTTCCCACAGAAATTGGCACAATGTCATCGTGAGGCACGGCACCGAAATGGAGAATCAGTTGCCTGAAACGCTCAAAGCTTGGACCTGTCAGTTGGGACCACCCACAGAGACTTTCGAGTTGGAAGCAAAGCAGCTAGAAACCTTGCAGGTGTAAGAAGATCTATGCTATTGAGGAAGGTGGCTTTTCTCGGTCTTTGCGGCACAGCGTTCAGTGTCCTGTCACAATCGATCAGTGGCTACTGAGCGGCTACTGTTCTATCCACAGGCGGATGAGCTACTGGAGATTTGGTTGCGGTCACTGCGACATGCTGCGAGGGTTGCATTCGGCTGTAAGCTGGAGGAGCCGAGGAAGGTTCGCTGCGGTGATCGTCGTTGTCGGCAGTCTCGCGCTGATCGGCATCAGTGTCCGTCTTATGTCCGACACGGACACTAACATGATTTTGGATGCCACCGCTCTTGGCTTCGTCATCGAGCTGGACCTAACTTCCAAACCCTCGAGAGCCTTGTCAACACTGGGCGCTAAAGTTAGGATGTGCCAGCAGCTTGGCCCGCCTGGCCGTCTGTGCCAGCGGGGTGGGAGTAGAAAAAAATATCAGCAGGAAGTATTTTCTTGTAGGCATCATTGTATGGAGGCATTCGGCGCCGGCAAGGCTAGGTAGACGCTGCACAAGCTGCAGGACAATTTGGAGACGTTGCCTTCGTACCTCCATCGCTCGAACTTGCTGTATAATGCGGTCTTCTTGGCCTTGTGCTGCCTCCACTTCCATTTGAGTTTGGAGGGCGATAATGGCGGTTCATTTGCTCAAACCCTTGTCGAGTTTGTGCAGTTTGATTGCGTTGAGCCAGCATTCCTCACGCTACAGTGGCTACGGCTTGGGCTAAAAGATGCAGTGGCAAATGGGATCCGCTGAGGAAATCGCAGCCAAAGTGCTCTGACCGAAGTGTTGGACAGTCTGCCTTGTTGACGGATCAATGCCAGGGCATTAGCAGGCCTTTGCTCGCGACACATATCATCACGCGCACAGGACAAGGCTTCAGGCAGAATTCTTAAGCTTCCAGCCGAGTTCCAAGGCTGTGCAAAGCCCCCAGCGCCCTGGGCTTGCCTCGGCCGCCAAAGCAAGGGACCAGCTTTCTGGTGGTGTGCTTTAGGAGGTGCGCCGTGGTTGACTGACCTTTTCGGCCTGCCGGGTAACAGCTCAAACCTTTCTTTCGGTGTCTTGTCACTGCAATGCCATGTTGTCTCGGTGCCTTTACCGCGTCTGGTCCTGCCGTGCGCTGGGCCGATGGTGGAACGGCTGCTGGGCATGTTTGGTCGCACCTTACTTTGGGCTCAGCATCAGCGCGTATGTGAGGCGTGTGGCCATCTTCGCGAGAAGCGGCAAGTTAGCCCGGGCCGTGCTGGAAGGCAGCCTTGGATTCTTGATGTTGACAGGACTCTTGCTGAGCTTCCGCGGCAGCTGCAAGTTGTTTGTGCTGGAGAGATCGGATGCTTATGCGGACAAGCTGCGGCAGAATCAGCGAGAGCGGGGAACGGCAGTTCAGAACGGAGTGCACCTTTGCTTCTTCCTGGTTTGGACTTGCTGTACAATTGTACACCTGCTGCAGGAAGCGAGTATTCTGATGGCAGTGCTCTTTGTGCTGGGTGAGACACAAGTGATTCTTCCCGAGAATCTAGGGAGCTCGGGCTCTGCGCAGGCAGTCCTTGTATTGGCGATTGTGGCTGTTGGCCTACCCTTTGCCTGGTTTTACATGTGGTTTCGGTTACAGCTTGGAATGGCGCCCTGGCCGCTTGTCGGGCTCCTTGAGCTCGCCGCAGCAGAGGTTCGGCAGCTTGAGGCACAAATCGAAGATCTCTTGAAGATGCCGATCTCGGCACGTCGAGTTCGGGAGTTGAGCGTGAACTATCTGCAGCTTCACGGCCGCTTGAGAGCTTTGTCTGCTCTCGCAGGCACTGCTCCTGCTCTGATCTTGGCAGGTGCGGTGATGCAATCACTTGGGCTCCTGATGTTCGAAGTTCTGGAAGATGACGACCGCTTTGCGCAAGCCAACATCATGGTTACGGGGCTGTTCCTCTCACTTATCTCCCCCACACTGGTGGCCTTTGTTCGAATGGCCTGGGTCGCGCATAGATGTGATGGGCTTGGTGCAGTGGGCTTACGACTCCTGTCGCAAACCACGGTGGAGGGCAGGAGTGACTTGCACGACGATGCGGATTGCACCGACCTGCTCCTACGCTTCATGTACACAGTGCAGGCAGTCCCAACCGGCTGGTTCATTGGACCCACTCGAGCTGGCCCATCCTTCGTGCTGAGAGCCTTCCTGTCGGTGCTTGTGTCAGCGTTGAAGCAATCCTGGGCTTTCTTCTTTCCCGATGACTGGGCAGAGGGTGATCCCAGGCTTGGCACAATCCTGTTTGCCATTGGCATGGTGCTGCTCAGCGCATCTTGTTCTGCTATTACATGCTTGAAAGCTGAAGTGCAGTTGCAAGGATCGCCCACCCTGGACGATGTAGAGCTTCCGATCTCGCAGATACAGCTTGAATCTTCACTACACCCAGCTGGCTCGTCTCAACGAGAAGCACTGTAGTGTTGCTACTACAAGGCATGTCGCAGATTTTATCGACACCTGGCGGTACAAAGCTGACCGCTGATAGGAGAATTGGGAGAAGCCCTCAGGCTCCCCCACTGGCGACGGCGCACTTGAGGATTGAACGCGAATAGGTAGCTCCAGGTCTCTCGGTAAGACTTAGGGGTTTAGGGTTTAGGGTTGGGGTAATTCTCTAAATTAGGGTCCCTTTTAGGGTTCTTTTTATAAGGGTGCCGTACTACATTGGTGACCTTAGAAGGGACCCTAATTTCGAGAACTACCCACATAGAAGGCCTGGAAGACTAAACAATTACCAGTGTTATTCTATTCCGTAGTGTTCCTTGTTGCAACTAGACTATAAGGGAGCCCAAAACCGGATTCCAATTATTAAGGCCCTCAGAAGGGAGGATGATGTTCTGTGGGTCTTATATGGGACCTCTGTGCTGTACGCTTGGGTGTGTCTTTGTCTTAGTGGTGCTCGTTCCGTTTATCCTTACCTTTAGTGTCCATTGCAGTTCTGTCCATTTGTGCTAAACCCTATACCCTACAAGCCCGAAGCCCTAAACCCTAAACCCTATAAAGCCCAAACCCTATAAACCCCAAACCCTGAACCCTAAACCCTACAAGCCTCGGAAAGGGGGCGATTAGAAAACAAAAAAGACTACCAAGCCTAAAGTCTCCATGTTGGTTCCTCTTGTGGCCTTCCTTCTAGGAAGTACGGAGAAGTACTGTCGGATGCACGGAATGGCTGTCAGAGGACCCAGAGCTCGGCGAGTTCGGCAGGCGCCAAGGCCGCAGCGTTGCGAGAGGACCTCAGGGGGGTGGATGGAAGCCCCTCGAGCTAGGTGCCGGCACAGACTCGCTACCAGACGAGGCTCGAGGGTCGGCTAGGAAGCAATACTTCAGTATTTGCAGCTCAAGCATGAATGCTCTTCGACGCACGGACTGCTGCCCTTGAGCCTGCAACGGGAAAAGCAAAGCATTCTCTGCGCAAGCATCGCTGAACTTATTCCTCGAAAAAAATCGGCGTGAAAAGCCAGAAACTGCACCGTGCAACTCAACCTATGTGCATGTTGCGCACCAATGCAGCAGCAAAAAATGCAAAGGTACTGCAGTACTCATACCGCTGCGTGCGCAGTGGCATTTTTTGGAGTCGAAGCTTCGATGCTTTCGGCCATTGATGGTCATTGCACTGCAGGCGGCTCCTCACCCTCCAACTTCAGCGAGGCAACCTTCTCTTGTTGTGTTAAAGTTAAAGCATCCTGACGCTGCCGGCAGGGTGGCAAGTTCGCCAACGAAAGGTGCAGACTTGGTTTCGGGAAACAGTTATCCCCGGCATGCCTCCCCTATGTTGGCTGAGAGAGGTGGAGGTGGGACCTCCGAAGATGATAGGTTGCTTTGGAGCGGGCGTCTTAGACTCATGTGCGCATGAAAAGATATGTGGGGATGTCTGAAAAGTCAACACAGTGAACGAAACTGATTTAGTCTACTCTTCTCTTCTGCGGACCCAGCTTCGGATTCAGGTTTGCTGGGCTCCTTCGGCTGCGCGCCGGAAACACGTTGCAGCCAGGGACATGGTGGGGATGTTCTGTGAGAGTCTGCTTTGCCGAGCTCCGTGTCCGAGGCTGTCGTTGGCCAGAAGATGATGCGGAGGCTGCCCGCCGGCAAAAGGAGGCGGCGAAACTGCACCAAAGATCGTTGTTTGCGGACCTAACTCCAGCTCTCGTGATCCGAAGCATTTGTCTTGTGGAGATCAAGCAGCAACTCTGCCGGAACCATTTTATCTGTGTCCCATGCCATGCAGTGTGTACCATGGCCTTGTATTCGAACAGGGCGACTGCCGAGGAGCGAAGTCATTGCACGAACACCATCAAGGTAGAAATGCTAAAGAAAAAGCATACCAGGCCACCAATTTTCACAAAGCTTGATCACATCGTCTCCTGCTTTTCGATTTTCCATGAACGAAATCGCAACCGCCAGGCGCTCTTTCCGCGACCGCGGGGTGCCTGCAGCGAGGCCACCACCAAGTCTGGCGGGGAGTACTGTTTCTGAACTTCCTGAACACCTGCAGAGTTGGGCCAGAGAGAGGCGAGTGTCATCAAGACGGAAGCATCGGATGGCGCAGGAAACCATCGACTTGCGCGCAGATCCGCCGGCATCTGGGGCCGGACGCTGTTTTCGTGTGGATGTGCGGCAGCCGACCTTCAGAAACGATTTCCCTGTCGTGGCGGGAGCGTATATGTGTAGTATGTATATATATATATACACATATATATATATATTTATATTTGTATGTATGTATG